CAAATATACGAATGGCAGGTTTAAAATTTCAATAAAACACTTTCCACCAATGTTTATTTCTAAAGACGTTGAATTTCCATAGGATTGCGATTTGTGGTGATACATACAAAAAGGTATCACTTACCAACTTTTGTACGGATCTATAGTGGAGTTGAAAGGGTGGGATCAATCTGTCAATCAGTCCGTCGAGAAATGTTGGTGAAAGAAAAAGGGGAAATGATTGTTTATTCGGCCACGGTTTGGTTTTATTGTTTTGTGTATTAATGCCAATATCTAAAACATTAAAGTTTTTAACGAATTATAAAACTACAAACCCTGAGGCCGAACGCCTGGTATCGTTGTGGTAGGGCCACGCAACAGTCTTCGCTGTTGCACGAATGGGCAGGTCCGGTGATTGGGGTAACCAGGGCAAATTTATTAAAATTAGCAATGCAACTGCAACCCTACAGGTGTTGCAAATTATTAGAGACATGTTATAAAACATAGCTTTTACCGATTTGTATCACTATAACTCAATGACTCAATAATTGGGTAACAAAAATACTTAGCTTTTCCAACAGAGTTTATTGGAGACAAGTTATATAAAACCGTTTAAAAACTTTTAAGTTAAACGGTTTTTTTTTTGTGCACTGAAAACTACAATATTATATTGTCATCTGAATTAAATGTGTGTACCAAATTTCAGATCAATCTGACAACAGAAAGGTGCTTAAATTTCAATTTCTAATTTTGACCCAAATAAACAAATAAATTCCGTACGTGTAGAGCAAAATAAAACCGTTTAAAAATACAGCTTTTACCGACTTATACAACTATAACTCAACGATGACTCAAGAAGTGGATAACAATAGCACTTAGTTTTTCCAACAGAGCAACAGCCTTTAACTCCCAATAGCCAAAAACTAACCAGCGTACGCTGTGAGAGTTGAATTTATACCCCTCCAAAACCAATACCAACTATCCCCCATTCTAAGGTGTAGGAAATATCACGACGCAGTAGGTATCAAACCAACAACTTTTAAATAAGTCGCAACAAACTGTACTAATAAATTATTGATAAATTATTAATTAGATTAAATATGTGCCATAATTATAACAAAATGTTCAGCTTGCTTGCCATCTCCTCACATAAAAAAATCAAACTAAATAGCATGTTATCTAATAAAACTATTACACGCGGCATGGTGCCAACCTTTGAGCGAGAAAAGAACCAGCTCTCTTATCACCAGCGCTGCCTCTAAGTATGTAAGCGGCGCAAATGTGCATCCTTGTTCAGATTAAGTATTTATGCCATTTGCTGTTGAAACATTAGGTCCGTGGGTCCCCGTACATCGAAAGGTTTAGTTCTAAGACTTATCCGTGGCTGGTGTCAGGAGAGATAGTTTTTTGTTGCTCAAAGACTAATTTATTATATTTCAGTCTATTTTGGTATTATTAAGTAAGTTTATTGAGCACACTACCTCCCACTATTCATTAGTTTATTTTTCCTCGTCTTAAGGTTCTCTGGAAGAGATCGCTTTTTAGAGATGAGACCGCCTTGTTGTACCTAGCTTTTAAGAGTTATTTTCTATTTATTGTATTAAATTCTTTGTGGTGTACAATAAAGTATACAATAATAATAATTTAATCCACTCAGGTCCTGCGTTTTGACCTTTGGACTGTAAACTATTGTTTAAAAATGGAACAGCAATAGTCAAAAGTACATGTAGGTTAGAAACAGTGTTGAGCAATTCTACATATACTAGGTGGAGTTTAACGGATTTCTGAAACCGCTACATTTTAAAGTGAACACCGACCAAATCCCTAATTATTTATACGAAATTCCGTGGTCTGGGAAATATAGCATCTGCATACGCATGCATTATTTATAAGCGAGCATTTATGACGTGGGATTGTTTTGTTGTCGGTGTTGAAGTAAAAAACACGTGCCCATATGTTTTAACTGCCGCGGATTCTCTTGACATCTATATTTCAGGCACGTCACGGTACGTTTGTTCTAGGTTGTTCCACTAACAAATACAACACCTATAGCGCGTTGCAGACGCTTATAGTTACATTATTTATTTACTCACTTATTTTATTTTATTTTGTTATGATCATTCTAATGAAGAGGAACGAAACTTTTATGAAAATTACTTATTTAATTTTGTGTTGTTTAAGCTTTTAAAAAATTAGTATACTAAAAACTTTACTTTATACTAAAAAAGTAAAACTGTGTTAATATTTTTTACCGTGGGCTGTTCTAAAAAGTTTAATGTTACATTTTATTTTAATTCTTATACGTCTCGTTCTTTAATTACATTTAAAGTCATGACCGTTAAAAAAAGATAAATTTGATTTTTCGGTGTAAAGTAATTAAAGCACAGCCTATAAATGACCCACTGCTGGGCATAGGCCTTCTCTGTAAAGAGGGTATCGGTCATAGTCAACTTTGCGACCTCACTGCGGATTGGCGGCTTTCACATAATTTCGAAATAGTTTTTCGGAATTATTTCGAAAATACGCAGGTTTCTCACGATGTTTTCCTTCTTCGCTGAGCTCGTGATAAGTAAGGACTTAAAATTAACAATTTCGTTGCTGCTGGCACCGGGGATCGAACTCAGTTTGCTCGAGTAAATTGAGTTAAAGGCGAGCGGCTGGACACATCTATAACGGCTAGTGATAGTTCGGTTTGTGAAGGTATTATTTTAATACTTAATTATAACATTCTTAGCTGAAATATAAGTGCATAACCATTATTTATCGTCATAAATCATCTTTACGACGTCAAATCCATCCCGTAATCACATTAAAGTGTTAGAAAGGTTTGAAAAAAAAATGAAATCAAACGTGGTATTAAAACAGGGTCATTAATCAAAGGGTCCAACAGTCAATTTAATACTGGAAATCATTAAGTAAACTCATTAACAATGCCGTTAGAATAACGAACAAAATATTTATTTTTAAAGTTACAACCTCATAAATGTTGTCACGTTTCACGTCACGACTAAATAAGCTTGGCGAAACGTGCTTACTTATTTGTGATGCTCTGTTCAAGGATTAAAAGACTCGTAGGCCCGTGCAGTAAATGACATTTACTATGTAGTGACATAGTATAAAACAAAGTCGTCCCGCTGTCTCTATCTATGCTTAGATCTTTAATACTAAGCAAAATATCTTGATGCATTTTTTTTTACTTGATAGAGTGATTCAAGGGGAAGGTTTATATGTATAATACATTGCACCCGTGCGTAGCCGGGGCGGGTCACTCGTAGCATATATAATCGAATTTACGACTGTTCTATTATAAAAGGAAATTGTTCCACAGGTTCCAGTGGTTCGCCTAATGGAGATGCGTAGGTGAGGGCGCAAGGCGGGCGCCGCCCCACGCCCGCGCCCGCCCATGGCCACCGTCTTAATAAGCAGGTTAATAAGTAGCCAGTGTATTCACAAGTGAACTTAAATGGAATTTAGTTACTTTAATGTTTATTTATAAGCCCATTATTTGTGTTCGCTTTATAAGTTTAATTTAAAAAATTGAAAATTATAGGGCTGGCTTTGGTCCTTTACTGCTAACGGTGTAATTAATGCTTTGCGTATTACAAGTGGGGATTATTATTAAGACTGCGTATTATAGCTCTTGTTTTTTTATATGAGAAGGTGACAAGCAAGCTTTTGATTCTCCTGATGGTAAGTGATAACCACCGCTTATGAACATTTGCAACACCCGTAGAGTTTCAGACGGGCTGCCACCCCTTAATAAAGTGGGTCCCGATTACCTAATTCACCGGACCAAGTGCAGAAGTATAATACTTCTACTTCAAGTCTTACCTGGTCCATTCGTGCTACAGTGTAGACTGTTGCACAAAGTTAATGCATAGTTTTTTGGGTCCAAAATAGCACGTTTTTTCTGTCTTGGTTTGTTATTCACACCGTTGGTTTTTATAATGTTACATCAGGATACAATTACACGGGGACTTTGTGATCATTTCATAAGCGCCCTAATTACACAAGATACAAATTGAACTACATTATAATGTATCTCTCTGGTCTTATACACAGGCATCCGCCTTCCTTCCTTAATCTGATATAATCCCTTTGCGTTGAGATAGGGAGAAGATTCTGACGCCGCATCATTGAAACCGGATAATTACTAGACACACACACACACACGAACCTTCAATTTGTGTGACGTCGAAATATTTACGAGACAGTGATCGAACAAGGCCGTCTCAGTTGGCAGCATTATATACACGAAGCGACGTTACGTAAACTCAATGTGATGTACCTACTTTAGGGCACTTTTTTTAATATACCTATTTTAGGGCAGTCTTATAGGATATAGAGCGAAATTTTCCTATATCACTTCTTCTCTAAGTATTTCAACATTCAGACAAATGATACTTCTACTAGGAAATAATGGTCATTGACTGTCCTACTAGCATTTTTTTATATATTTTTTTTATTTTATGCGAAAAGTTGTCAAACGAGCAGACGGTTCACCTGATGTTAAGTGAATACCACCGCCCATGGACATCTGCCACACCCGAGGATTACAGATGCGTTGACAACCTTTTGAAAATTGGTCTCCGGCTACCTCACTCACCAGACGAAACGCGAAAGTATTTGTCATACTTCCACTTTACGGTGGTCTTCTGTGAGGTCGTGGTACTTACCCGGACGGGCCTGCCCATTCGTGCATCAGCCGAGGCTGCTGCGTGGCCCTACCACCGTTAAATTATGTATAGTAGAATTTATGTATAGTAGAATTTCTTTTTTGTTTGTTTTTTTTACAGATTTGCTCTTACTTTAGGATAGCATTAATTATCCTGTGTTGTAAGGACGTTTTACAAACATAACTACAAACAGGTGGACAAACACCTACCTAACAAGTAGTTGTTTTTTGTTGGGATAGAACACACTACTTCCGACGCCGAAGCCAATACCTTGGCAACTGCGCCACGGAGTCTTTTGAATGTTAATGTCAAGTCTTTTGGCACCTTCACTGTCTCCTGACTAATATGAACATCAGGTTGGTGCTGCGCTCGCTGGTGGTTGCCGCAGCGTGGAGCGCCCTCTTCCCGCTACCGAGCAATGCTCAACTCTTGACATCCACGCTGGTCCCATCGTGCCCACCACAATGCATCTGCCTGTCCCAGTCGCAGGTAACTTAAACATGCATGCATCGACATGTCCGGACGTCAGTTTTTGACGCACCGAATTTAAATAAAGTAAATTTTGCTAAATTTGAAATCTGTAAAGATGCGTGTTTATTTTTCAATTTAATCTTATATTGAATTTAAAATAAAGACCTACTGTGGTCGATTATCAATAAAAAAAAAGTATCCTGTGTTGTAAGTGAATTTTTCAAACATAAATTTCACGCGGACAAACACCCAGATGCGAAACAATTATCTTTAGTTTGTCCCGTGTGGGAATCGAACCCACGACCCCCAACGCCGAAGCCAATACCTTGGCAACTACGGCACGGAGTCATCAATATTTTACCTTCGCAATTTACTTAGAAAATGAAGATTGATATTGAATTTGTAGTTATTTTATATAAAACTTTATATCATTAAACTTTCTAAAAGAACCTTAAGATCGTTTATTCCTGCATAAAAAATTTTACATACAATTTATATTTCATTGAAAACACAAACTAAATAAACGCGATCTGTGCAAGCGTTCTTAGGAAGTTAAAACGGGCCGAAAAGGTGTAAAAAGTTTAAGTCAGGGGAATTATTAAATTATAAACCCGAATGAAGTTGTTGATGTAACCCTACTGCTCGCGCACTCAACACGAAAACCTTACATACAATAAATTAGACGTGTCAGAAGTAATTCCTTTCACCGGATCCTAGATACGAATAAGCGTGTAATGTAACAAATCATAAAGAATTAAGGCCATTCATCATCATTGCAGATTGCCATGAATGTATGTAATAATGCGAGATCTTTTCCAAGTAAAAAGACAAATCAGTCGTCAACTTACAATATGTAGCACTGAATAGCAATAAAATAAAAAATTGAACACACGTTGTGAAATCCACTTCGTTTATTTTTTAAGTTAATATTGGTTTAATTTTAGAATATCGATCGAAACGACGGCTACCTTTATTTGATCAGAATTCTATTGTTATTGTGTAGAGTGCGTATTCAATTTACTTGTTATTGAATGTGGCCACCTAAATAGTTCAATCAAAATGTGGTTCGATGTTTGTGTTTGGTGTGAGAGGATTATTTGGACGGGATCATTTTATTGACTGAATAAATCGGTCGTAGAGCTTTGGAAAATCACCGATCGCTCTTGGGAAATATAATCAACCGTTAATTGCTTTTGCGAAATTAAATTCTAATACAATAGTCACTTGCTCTTTTCGTGATGTGATCCGCTTAGTTTATTCAACTGCTTTATTTCAAATAAGTATTTATACAAAATAAATGAAGTACCTACTATTTATTTATTTTTTTATATTGTCCTTTGTACAAGTTGTACATTCGGAATTAATATAATCCATTAAGTAATATTGGGTACCAATAAGTACAAAAATGATTTTTCAGACAACTACAACAAAAGAGGATTCATTCGTTTGTAGTTTTTTTATTTGTTACCCTAAAACTCCGTCCTTTATGAAACGATTTTAAAAATTCTTTTTGTATTCGGTTCGTTTTAGCTCCCACGTCGTCCCATATCAAACATTGGCATTGAATCTTTTACTCCAGAGACAAAATTAAATAGAAAATGTACATTGAGTTAGATATTTGAAGTTATTTTTGTGTTTTTTTTAAATAAAAATTTACTATTGATAAAAAAACATCACTTTTCTTACCTAATGACCAGATCAATAATTATCATTTTATTAAACGGATAATATCAGCGTTTTATTATGTACTATAGTGCTGAGCCTTTAAATTCTTTTCAACAGGTGGTGTGCAACAGTGCAACGCTTCGGGGAGTTCCGACCACGCTGAGTCCTAGCGTGATGCAGCTGTCGTTGTCTCGCGCCGATCTACGCGTTCTAAGATCAGACGCCTTCGCGCATTTGCGGCAGCTGCGTCGGCTCTCGCTGGACGCTTGCAACCTGACTAGGATCAAGCCGTTCGCCTTCCGCGGCCTGCCCCGGCTCAACGAGCTCTACATACAACACACGCCGCTCGCCACAGTCGACGCTTTCGCCTTCGCGGCGCTGCAAAACATCAGCTCCATCGTCCTGACGCACAATAAGATCGCCCAGATTGAGGGCTACGCGTTCGCCGGCACCAATTACATAAAACTGATCTCCCTCCGCAACAATCCGATCAAACGGATCCTGGCGCACGCCTTCTCCGGCCTGAACGATGTCAATCAGATAGAGCTGCCTTCCGGGATCCGGGCGATAGAGCCGCAAGCGTTTGCCGGCCTCGAGGGGGTGGGCGTGCTGGAGCTGGCCTACATGGATCTGCCGGCGCTCCTGCGAGACACCTTCTTCGGTATGACGCGAATCGGCCGACTGGCGTTGAGGGAGTCCGACCTGGGTGTTATCAGGGAGGGCGCCTTCGACGGCCTCCGCCACGTGGACACCCTCGAGATGTGCAACAACAAAATAGACGGCGTCGAGGAGCTGTCACTGGTGCAGAACAACAGCGTGCACACGTTCAAGCTCACCGGCAACCACATGCTGGAGTCGCCCGAGTCCGTCGTTCTCGAGGTGGACATCGTCGAGATACGGGGCAACCACCTGCCTTGCGAGTGCGGCCGCGACCCGATGGCGAACCCACTGGCTCTGTCGCCGGAGTTTGCCGACGAGAATTTCTGTATATCGCCGCTGAAGGTCCGCGGGCGCAGCTTGTCCAGTGCGGCCGGTGCAGCATGTAGGGGGGAGGGAGGCGGCAGTGCTAGAGCAAGAGCCGCGGCCGGTGCCGGCCCCGCAACCCGCACCGTACACCTACCACCCCATAGACTAGCGCTGACAGCCGCCCTGATCGCTTTCTTCGCAAACAGCTAACCGCCCTCGGTGTTCAATTGTATTCGTTGTATGTGTCTGTAAATATTGTAAAGTATGTGATTATATAGTTGCAAAATTTTACATTGAATGGGTCCGTTCATTCAGTATACGTTGGACCATGATTAAACCTTGCCTTTGGAGTGCCGTGTTTCATTTACAGTTACAAACTTAGCCGTAGAAAGTTTCTCCAATTTTCTGTAATAGACGTGGCAACACAAAAAAAAATTCTCTTTGTTATAAATTCATCAGAGAAGACTAAAAAGTTTAGTTTGCTTTTGATTAATATTGTAAATTAAGTTTTCAATACATTAAAATTTGTAGTTTGTTCAATCTTAAGTGCCGAGATTAGCACTATAAAAATTTAAATGGTCGATACATGTAATAATTCATTAGTACCTGGAGGACCGAGCTTTGATTCCGATTATATATATATATATATATACAAGAATTGGTCGTTTAAAGGATAAGATTACATTCAACATCAGTAGTAGGGAGTCAGTAGGATTCTACGGTTGTCAGACCATCGCACAGATATTCAAACTTCTATCGTGACAAAAACTTACATAAATTTTCTTAGAACACTAAGAAAATTTATGTAAGTTTTTTAAGAGCAAAGGCAAATAAATGATAGGAAAATATGATGGTATTATCAGCATTGTGGACTGAATTGAAACTGAATCCATTCCAATGAAATTTGCGTATGTTATAAATATTTCTTTCAGAATTCTTAGGAGGTATTTCAAAAATTATATGATAGGGAGTGTAGTAGATTGAACTATGTAGGTATGTATTGGTTTTATCTGCGTTTCTGGTCAATTAATAAACGAAATCAGATAGGGATAGAGTTATGTTAGACGGGTTTTTGGCTATAGTCTCCGTGTCAGGAAAAATTTATTACTGTTATAATCTGTTAAGCAAATGTAGTTATTTTTTAATTTGTTAAAAGTCTTTTAAAGTTTTATCTGTCAAAATTTAACATCGCTAATCTCATAAGGTTTCGATTTTTCTTTGTTAATAAATTTCTGCGATTGCCACCGTAAATATTGAGTGATATTATATCACTCAATATTTGCTGTGTTGCTCAATATTTGCTCAATATGGGCCGGCAAGGCTAGCCAACTTTTCAAACTCTCGGCTATAAGCACATTTTTTGTCAACTATGCTAAGTATGTTGTTAATCATTAATTACTTCTGTCATTTATTTCTGTATTATACCTATGTTATTCATAGGAGGTTGGCAAAGGTTTCGAGAAAGGAAGGTTTCAATGTTCCGCTGGAGTCTCTTTATATTAGTAGCTTATACTCACCACGTCATCAACATGGATCTCGTAATTTCCATTTAGACTGATTATAAAAAATAAAAAATGCACATTAAGATGATATTTCCAATTTAACCGCTTCTGTAGTGTGGTTTTTAAAGATATATTAACCTATTTTATCTTCATATGTATTAACCTATCTTATCTTGTTAATAATTTACTTTGTTGGAGTTACTAAATTAGCCGTTTTATAAATTAAATCTATCAGACCTGACAGCTAATGTTAACTCTAATTGAAGCGAATAACCATGAGGATTATTCATACTTTTTTTTTCACTTCGAACAAGCCATCGTGTTAGTTGCATATACTTTTTAGTACCATTTGCTATGACTTAAAGATTTACATTAATCAATTTCTTCACATAAATCAAATAATTTCATAAATTTTGTTTGAAAATGTGAGGCCTGCTTTCATTTTATACGACCGAGACGTGAATTTCCATGCGGCGAAGCAAAAACCTACTGCAATTATTTAAAGCGACGTTTTGTATTGTTGGAGAGCATGATGTTTGCATGCCATTATTTACATGTCAGTTTTTATGGCAGTAATTTTAGGATAGGTGTTACATAATCTCGTGAGAGATTACTGTGGGGGATTTTTTTTGTCTATTTTAAGAAACCAGTGTTTTTAATGCATTTAATTGAAAAATACCACCCGAAATAAGAATTCATTTTGATGTACACAATAACCACACAAATTAAAAAAATATGATTTATTTATATTTCCTCATCATCATCATTTCAGCCTGTTTTAGTCCACTGCTGAACATAGCCCTTCCCCGCAGACAAAAATAACACTATGCGTAGTAAACATATGCATTATTTATGACGCATGTATATACAATATATGATCATAGTACCTATATAAAATTGTATTATTTAATGAATAATCATAATATATCTCCGTTTATTTTTCTTTCATATAATACCCAGTTTTCGGTAACAAGGATAAAACTGAACAATAAAAGAGATCTGACCGTCTATAACGGATATACAACTTTGAAGGCCAGCGCGCGTATCTCGGTTCGGGATGAAATAATAATTCGCGATGAAATAATGGCAGAATTCTTTGTATTTTTCCTTTTCATCGAACATTTTCGGTTAATAATGATGAGTATGTTTACCATTTATATTCGAATAACATGTTTAAACTATAATTATGAATATGATATTTGAATTTGTAAAGGTAGGTAATCTTTTTCATAATACGTTATAAGTCGAACGTCCGGAAGGAAATAATACCGAAATAATTGAACGCGGTTAACTAACTCCAGAACAGTGACTGTTTTCAGAGTTGCCATTATTAGATTTTGTCCTATTTTTCTTCACGTTACTTTATTGTTTGTTTGTTTTATTAACGGCGTGTGTTGAGAAGATGACTTCGTACTCAATAAGAAAGATTGAGTACGAAGTCATCTTCTCGGACATCGTAAATTTTCTCTATTAAGATGCGAAAAGATCAGAGAAAGTTAGTTCATGAATTTTAGTACAGTTATACTATTTATTTTTATTATATTTTGAAAATGTGCAGTTTTCCTAATGGTGTTTTCCTTCAGCGCTGAGCACGTGATAAGTCAGCACTTAATATTGCAATGATCACTTGCATTGGTATCGGAACTAGGAATTGAACTTAGGTTGCTTATTGAATTGAAAGCTATCACGTCCTTAATTGGCAGTGAATATATTTCTTAATTAGAAACATATTTTTTAAATATGTAATATATCAGAGTATTACTGTAATCAAATTAAGGTAATTGGATAAATTTGGAACATTTCCAATTAGATTTATAACGCGGCTCCGTAGCAGAGAATATTTTATATAATAAGTCACTTTTGCGGAGTCGAGATCACTTTTTGATTTTCAAATGAAACAAAATGATAATTCTTTGTCAGGCAAATCATTTTTGTAACCAGCGCATTCATCTGTCGGTAGATACATTGTAGCACATTTGCTATTCGAGTATGAAGATTTAACATATTTAGCAGAACACCAAATGTTGCAGTTATTAACATCACTTCTCTTAAGAAGTTTAAATGTGTCGAATATTGGATAGAGCTTATAGTTCCTTTTTAGTTATAGTGCTTTGGCTTTAATCATATCAAACAACATTTTTGTGTGACAACAATGCGCGTATTCCGTGTACGAATTTAAAGAGTAATTGGAAAAGGATTAAATTTGTTGACTTAACAATCAGACAGCACGGTTTTAATAACATTCGAATTATTCTGGTGAAATTAATCGCTGAAGTGTCTATAGTAATTTAATATACAATATCTATTGTTTAATATCATGTTATCAGAATAATAGCATAAATGTGTATAATCATTTAATGTTTTTCATTTAATTTTAATCACTGACTTATAGTTTTAAGTTTATCAAGTCCATTTTTATTAGCGAAAAACAAAACCGACTGAAATATCTCGCTCTGTATTCATTTAAGTGTCTCCTAAGCCCAACATTCAATACCAATGGCCCACGTGGGAAGCACCAGATTTCAATAAAATAAAGAATCATCAAAATCGGTTCAACCACTCGAAAGTTATGCGGTTACAAAAATTAAAAAAATACAGTCGAATTAAGAACCTCCTACTCTTTTGAAGTTGGTCGAAGATGGACAAATCTATGAAAAACACCTCTGGGTTTTATTTAACCAAGTTCATAATAAAAAACTGTTTTTTTTTAATTGTACTGAATGCAATTCACAACAATTTCGTTTGTTATCAATGCTTCGGATGCTAATGATATTACCAATTAGATACTGTTAAATTATTATTCAAAAACTAATCATTTGTACGTTGACGTGATAAGACTGATTAAAATTAATTACGACCTACATCTGAATTTCTTACCTCAATAATTAGAACACATGAGCAGTTGGGAGAAGCAGGCAATATATCATTAGTTAGAGTTAAAATTAGTCTCAACTCGGGGCAATTCGCACGTGTTAAAACATTTCGGCACGAACTACTCATTAGCGAGATATCGATCTAAGCTTAGCTCCGCTGTTTCAGTCTCGTACTAAGCAGTTATAACTATAGTACCTGGAGGACCGAGCTTTGCTCGGTTTTTTTTGGTAAATCATGTATTTTGGAAATAAAAAAAAAACAAAAAATAAAGAAAATGATCTGGTATAGAAAAAAAAGTGTAAATGATCGTGATACGAACCGCGGCCGTCTGTTTTGGGGCCGCCCCACTACCGAGCGAGCTATTATAACATTTTTTTTTGCGGCGAAATTTACTGTCATATTGGAATGATATTTTTCATTCCCTGAAAACAGGGATAAAAGGACATTTTCTAAAAATGAAACCTATCTAGATCAATTTTTCGCCCCCGAATCTACGCACATACAAAATTTCATGAAAACATTTTTTTATTGGTGCCGGCTCAAAAAAAATCAATTAGTAATACTAATTTTGGTTATTGAGTACACTTTCCTTGTCAATATTTTTAATTTAGATGAAAAATAGAAGCAAGCTATCTGACTGAACCAGTGGGATTCATCAACGTTTAGTTTATAACCATTTCACTATGAATACTCCATGCGAATTTGCAAAGAGGACAATACAAATTTAGCCACGCGAATTGGACACTTTTTTGCACTTAAAATGCAAATAGAAACTAAATTGGCCAATCGCTTTTTCAAATTCCAAGCAATAAAGATACTATATATTGCTCA